TTGTAAGTAAAATTTAATGTTAATTCTCATATTAATATCAGATGGGTTTTGTGGATATTATAGTAATTTCAATGGTTAAGATCATGAGTCAATTGAAGCTAGACCACCATGGAAAATCTGGAAGCACTGAACGGCAGTTTCGTCCTATTGTGAGACTCCAGCAGTGCGCGTCCACGATCCCGCACCACGCGAGATTCCAACCCAGGACCTATCAGTCTCGCGCGTGAACGCTTAACCACTAGACCACTGAGCTGGCCGGCATCCGACGGTGTTAATGTCTAACTTCAACTAATCCACGAAATTGAGCGACACATCCACCATTGTCTTCAGTGAGTTATTATCTCACAACAGACCTGGTCACTGCTTCTCACTAGAACTCCAGGATATACCTCGTGAAGCCGGTCACTAGTGAGCATATGTTGATTAATATTAGATGGGTTTTGTGGATATTATAGTAATTTCAATGGTTAAGATCATGAGTCAGTTGAAGCTAGACCACCATGGAAAACCTGGAAGCACTGGAGGCCGTTTCATCCCATTGCGGGACTCCTCATGATCTTAACCATTGAAATTCTCATATTAATTTTGATTTGTTAGAATTCATTTACCAATGACTTTTAAGTCAGTAAGATGTTAAGTCTACAATGTTTATGGACTAGATAACTTAAATACTAGGTTTGTATTCCGGTCACAATTTCTAAACTACGCCCTGATAAACAAAGATGGATAGTGGCTAGCAATGGAATCCAGGACGAAAATTTCTTCCTGTTTGGGACTTGTCAGCTGGATGTACCTGCATCTCAGAGTTGATCTTCACTCCATGACTTGAACCCAGTAACGTTCGCTTCAAACGCCATCGCGTTATCCACTTAGGTACTGAGTCCTGATAGCCACTTGCTTGTGCAATGGGATGAAGTTTACATTCACTTGGTATTGTTTACTTGGATTCCACAGCTAGCCACTATTCATCTTTGTTTATAATGCTTGTGAATTAAGGCAATATCGAGGCAATACGCACAGTATGCACATATGCCAATAAGAGACCGATCAATCGTAGTCTTAAATATCAACGGGAAAATTCAAGTAAACAATACCAAGTGAATTTACGCCCTGATAAGATTCACCAAAAACCTACCATACGTAAAGTTTATTTTCATGATGGATTTTAGTATGAATTTTATGTTGATTGAGGAACCATTGCAAATAAGAAAATACTATAATCTATGTAAATAACTAGAATTAGTTTAGTATAATGCAAATTCAATCATAATTTAGAACTGCTTCAATGTATCTTAGAAACGATAATAAATGAACGTCCGATCTCAAGGAGTAGGCGTATTTTCATCTAAATAACGGAGTGAAATGGTGAATTTAAAAGTGATTGAGACATCTAGTAACAGATGAAATATCACATATGGTGTAGCGCACAGATTTCTAGCAAAGGAGAAAACCAGCAGCAATCTAGAGAAGTGTTAAGGCTTTACTCTTTTTATTGCCAGATCTAAAATCTCAGAAGTAGGCAGTAACTCCTTAAGGTAAGCTATCAATTTTATTTTGGGAGTTTGACAATTAACAACTCTTAGATAACTTATGATAAGAAATGAGGAAATTACACAATCTACAAAATACACAAACACTACTTGTATGATTTTAGACATGTTATTTTCGTATGAGAATCATGTGGTTAACATTGTTCTTCTTTCGCATCCCTTTTATTTTTTTTTAATGGAATGATGAAGGCCGGAGCACACTGAAATCGTTTTATATTACCCTCCTACAAGTTAGTTTCTGATTCGCCTAATCTAATTTCTTTTAAGCGATACGTCCTGTTCAAGTTCCCCTGAATGCTTGCACTTGCTACAAACGGAATTATAGGCAATTTAGACTAAGACACTGAGTAATTTCAGCATCGGTGAGTTTTGTCACTCGAAGATTTGTGAATTCCAGTATAGCTCTGTAAATGTTTCATCCACTAATTAGTTCAAGAGCCACTTGGTTACGTCATGTTTGATAGGTGTTAATGTTGCAAAAAGAGGTCAGGACTCTACTACTTGATTAGATACTCGTTCACAATCAGTAAGTTGTGTGGCTAAAAGATAATCAAAGCATAAATCAGCTAGTAACGAGAACCACTCGTTTTTAAATTTCTGAAAAACATCCTGGGTGATTTAAATTCAAATGAGTGACCTCTGTTGATAAGTGTACGCGACGGATAACACGGTGTATATATGCACAGACATATAAATAGCTGTTAGTTGGTTATAAATCGAAAAATAAGAAACATCTGTTTTGTATTGACGCAAACCTACGTTTGGTAAATATTAACTGAAATCCGTAACTAATACGCGACTTGATGTCTAATCTCCATGATCCTAGTTTGAACATGAATATATTATATTACAATTAGCTGATAATAGTGTAAACAGAAACATGAATTTCAAGTTAGCTGCATGACATGGCTCAGGATCGATCACCATGGCGTATATGTATACACTCACTGTCTTTCTTTAAACTATGAGATTAAAAGCGCTTCACAACTTTCTTTCTTCCTGTACTATGTCTTTATATGCAATCTTTCTTTCATATATTACCACCACTGAATTAAATACTATGAATCCGGCGTTGATCTTGTTGTGCTAGTGAGGTACGGCAACTTGGATCGATGCACATATGTGCCTGGTCCTACGTTGTAGCTGACTGACTGAAATATGTCCGGTAAATTTATGAAGGTTCTTCGCATTCTAAAGCATCAAAAAGTAAGAAGTAAAGTTTCACTGAGACAGACTGAAAGGTTGATAGTTAACAAATTTTAACGTATGCATTGATAGACTCAGTATCCCAAGGAATGCAGTCTATTAACCACATTAACAATACTGACTAGTGTCCACTGTTAGTACAATCAAAAACACTGTAGTATAAAGTGACCTGAGTTATGTGTACGTACACCATAGTGTAGTATTTTCTAGTGGATTTTAAGGATACATTTTGCGTATACATAACTAAAAATTCTTCATGTTCTTGAACATTCAGTTCCCTAGAGCTTGAGAAAGATTTAATTTCATAGCTTTTGAACTTTCAGTAATTTTAAAAGCGAACAAATACTTAATTGGATGGTATTTTCCAATCACGTGGTATAAATGATTAAGTCGATTTACATTATATGCAACGAAAAATGAAATTAGTCACCTACCAGTTCAGAAATAATTTGTACAGGCGCAAACGATTAAACAAGTACACATACGTATTATTTCCTTAGCTGCTACCATGAAATACTTACTCTTTTGGGTATTATCATTTCAGGTAGGTTGGCTGGAGAAAAGTAATAACTGGAAGCAGCAAACTTATGGTTCGAGAGCGATGCCTACTGCTGACTGTAAAAGGGCATGAGGGTAGTAGGGTATTTCACTCAGACAATCAGGATCTGCAGAGATGTGACCTTCTCACAATAGGAGAGGTCGGAAAAGTTTGCAATCAATACAGATCTTCATTAGTTAATTGTATCCGGATATTAGAAACGAAAAACTAACGACTTCCCAAGTACTATTTTATCAGTCAAAAGGCTAGTTCAACTAATAAAGCATTATTAATGACAAATTTGTGCAAATTTCTAAACAGAAAAACCACGTTGAGTGGATTATTATACATTACAATATATATTAGACTTAATAAAAAAAATTAGAAAACACTATTTTGGTATCATAGACTCCATCAATCACAAACCTTCAGTAGCTCAAGATATAGTTTCGTCTGTTGATTTCTAATAATTCTAAACAGAAAAGGCAATCAATTCCATTATTTTAGATCTGGATAGCTTCAATCCACAGATTCTGTGACTGTTGATCTGTGCCATTAGTGCAGACTACTTTTTAGGGGGCCAGGAGATTACCGTGAATGGCAGTTGAATGCATTGAATAATGTGGCTCAGAATCGATTGCAATAACTCAGGTGCGCTCTTCCTCCTCCTTTAGATACTGAGTTTCAAGACTTTTTGGTAGCTACTTATTCTTGAACTATATTTCTCATGCTTAATCTTTTTTGCTACCACTGAACTTACTACATTGATATTCATCTTTATAGTTTCAGCTCACCGTGTTGATGTGGTGTGGTAACGTGGCCCGATCCACTTGTGCCAGGTTCTATGCTGTTTCTGAGTGACAGAGTTCTAAATAGCTGGATACTACCACAAAAGTCTAATATGACACAGGATCTCCCTATTTTTTTTCGTAAGGTGACGATTTCGAAATAACAATTACCTACGGAGTGTCTTTGGAAATGACTGATGATATTGAAACCTGTTGGTGGTAAAGTTTTAATTCAATTATCTGTACTGAAGCTAAATGTAATTCAGTGAAAAGTCATATAAATTTTGGTTAATAAGTATATTGCCAAATAGTCTTCAGCCACAAGTATAGGATACATAATAGCTAAGATAAAGTCCTTGTATGTATGCAGTTTATTTCAGAAACAATCTGTTTTGCGAAATGGCACTTTTCAGACTTGTGAGTTTAAGCTCAGAGGTGGTTAGAATGATAATTTGAATAAGCTTGGTACACAAGATTACAAGGACGGAGTCAACACTAATTAAATAGACCTATAAGAAGACAGTGTCTTTTAAGATGAATGCCCATAAAAACTGAGAAGTATACAAGATCCTTTCAATTGAAATGTGATCAGTACTTGCCAACAATTCAAATAACGAAGAAATATTAGTTTGCGCCACACAAGACATCTAGCATCTTATTATTGAATTGGTTGAAAATAGGAGTGTTACACTTGAGACAACGTTGATTAGAACTTAAATAAAACGTAAAGTGCTTAATGGCGTTTTTACCCATATCATCGAGTTCATTTGTGCTTTCAAAAGAATACTAGGAACCTTAAAAACCCAGTAACATGTTTTCAAAACAATAGTCTCCAGATCAACTGAGATACACTTTAAATAAAAAAAGTCGATTGAAAGGTATAGGAGTACGAGTACGGCAAAAAACAAACTTGATATTCTCCAATAAAAATGCTGATATTTTGGAAAATATAATGAGAAAATGAAAAACAACCGGAATAATTTTCAACTTGAAAGGCATAATAAAATCGGTAGTTGAAGGAAATTGACAAATTTAAAATAGAGTAACCAACAACAAAGAAAAAAATAATTGATATCTTATTCTGTTTCTTCAAGTCTGGCACGTAAACGAGCAGCATAACCAGTAGAGCGTAAATGATAAGGTAATTTTCGAGATTGTTTTTTAGACGTTACCAATGTTTTTTCTGAGTAATGACGACTAGGTAATGATTGTTTAGATTTAGACAGTGGGATATCTGATTTTATATTGATAGAAGAGTGTGATCTTTTCTTGAATTCTGAATTTCTATCTTGTAAGCTCCTTTCAGTGTTTGTTGTTCTAACTGAACTTGGGGCATTTGAAGGTGTTTCATTTTTAAGCAAATCAATGACAGGAATAGTTGTTGGTACCTTTGTATATACAATATTTGGAGCAGATACTGGTAAACATACCATCTCACTTGCAATATTTATTACACGTTCATAAATTTCAGCTAATTTTTGCAATTTCATTGCGGATTCAGAGTTTAACTTTGGAATACGATAAAGACGAGGGAGCCAATAGCGTAGAGTTAAACGGAATCTATCATCTGGTTTAAGTGATTCTATATCAATCACAAGACTATAAAATAAGTGTCCAGACGGAAAGAATATCCATGACGGAAGAAAGCTCAAAGAATTAGATTTTCGATCAGATAGTAACAATTCATCAATTAAATGTGTCAATGATCGTAGATAGATATATACAGTGTGAATTGAAGTAAAATGATGAACAATAGACGAATCAACAGACGATGATGATAGTCGATCAGACAACTTATCCTTTAGGAATTTAATCAAAATACCATAATGTTCAACTGTTTTTTCATCTGATTCTATAACATTGAAATAATTGGTGACGGCAATTGCTACAGTTGCTAGAACAATAGGAGAATTTCGTAGATCATCGCGTAAATTGCTCTTATTTTTTGTAATAGCATGAAACCAAAATGTTAAGGTCAGTGCTAAACTTACGATCCATTTTCTTTCAACATTAAAATTAGAAAATGAAAATCCAACTATACTTGAAAGCATTTTATCTGTTGTATCTTCATATCGACTTAAAATTAAAGGATCAACTTGAATTTGATATGTTGTTAGTGTATCACCAACACGGTGATATTCCAAAATATGAGGATTTAAACCGATTAGTTTTTGTTTATGTGATAGGTTATGTTCAATACCACATAATAAACGATAGTGCATCCATCTTAAAGGTAGTGAAATTTCATAGGCTGACAATTCAATATTTGAATTTTCAATTAATAAAGGCATAACAACGCCACCTTGACAATAGATAGGAGTTAAAATGAATGGTGCAAGTTTATGTTTAAAATATAATTGTAATAAATAATTTGACCATCCTTGTGTAAAATCCATACTTCCTAGGATAATGGTCAGCTGACCTTTTAACAAATCACCAAGACGTCTTTGCCATAATACAATTTCGGTTGTGGAATTAGGTTCCTGTGTGCTATACACAAAAATTGGAGGATTCAACTGATTTCTAGTTGATACTGAAATTTCTTGATGAAGAGAAACAGATAACTTTTGACCTAAGTATAAGTCTGGAAAGTATCCCGCCAGTGATTCTGCGAACATTTTTAAGAGCTTACCTCTTTCTTTGGAAGAGTAGCATTTTAGGATTTCATCGATTGGGGTCTGTAGATTAGTGCTAAATTGGGAAAACCATGAAACCAGAGTCATAAAGCGTCGAAATTTGTAGCTTTTTTTCTCTATGTTGTTTATGATCGAATACAAGTAGTTGGGGAGTTTTGTGTGAGGCATTGAGTCTGTACCAAGTAACAAGCCAATCAACGGTCGACAGGCTGGATGAACTGAAGATGGTTTAGGAATAAATTCATGGACTGTTAAGAAACGACATGGAGTTTGGATGGATTGTGATTCTGCATCTATTGATTCACAATAACAACTCCCTTTGGATTCCAAACATTGAAATTTCATGAGTGATAGTGGGATAAAACAAGGAGATGTATCGGATGACATCTGGTGAGTACCGATTAAAAAATATTCAGGAGAACTAGCAATGATTGGATGGTGAAGATAAGTAGCTAATGAGACACAACTTCGTATACGAGGATAAGGAGACTTTAAAAATTTTATTTCCATATCACTGAGAACATCTGTTAACATACTTTGAAGAAACATATAGTAAGGTATAGGCGATGAATTTTTCTTTTGTGTATTACTTGAAGATAATAATTTTATTGTTGATTCCATTGCTTGAAGTTGACTGGAAAGTTGTAAGCCCTGAAATCCCCCCCAAAAAAAACAGTGAATACGAACAAGCTAATTTTAACAGCGCTGATAAAAGTTAGATAATGGTATTACGAATTTGGTAAAAAAACATCTTACGGATTTTATGTCATGCTTTAATTACTGACCATTAGAAAGCAAATAAGAATCACGAATTGTTCAAATCGGACAATGTATAATTAAATAACACAATACCACAATTAAGTACTAAAAATCAACCAATGACGTCGGAGTTCCACACCTATAGTTCCCTTTATCTCGAACGGGGTAAAAACAAACATTCGGACAGGACAACATGAATTTACTTTGTTCTATTTAACTTTCCAGTTACCTACGACCTATAATATGTTAAAATTATCAGGAAAATTGACATAATTATAAATGCGAAATCGATTAGAAGCGATTGTATATTATGGTAGAGCGAAGATTTCAAATGGCCTAATAAGAACGTAAAGGTGGTTAAAACAGATGTAGTATGAGAGGGAAAGTCCCAGAACATCAAGAAGTTAGCTAAAGGTCACAGACCCAAATTTTCCAGTTGATTACGTAGTAAAGTAATTGAACACAGATTCATGTCAGTAACACGTAACATGGATCGAGACCAGTCCGCTAAAAATAAGACTAGAAATTCAAAGAAATGAAAGTGGTGTTGTTAAGGTGTGAGAAAGAGTTGAAACAAGGGATGATGTAATAAAGTGAGTGTAATGTTACCACGGTAAAGATTTATCACCGTTTGTTTTTGAACACTTAAGTCCAATTTCAAACGTCTGATCATGGCTTTAGATGATTTCAAAAGATGAGGAGTTCGATTCTTTATTAGTCACCTTGAACGACTTCAATGTATAAACTTGATGTCCTGTGTCAAAGGAATATTATGAAATATCACTGCTAGAACCTTTTAATCTGCCTGACCTCAAACCTTTCGCAATATACTCGTTGAATTGAACGTAAGATTCTCTTTATGTCTTAGCAGTGTAACTGTTTTGGCAAATACATATAAGTGAGGCGGGAGTTGACGATACAATTCATTCCAAATAAATCCATTCCTCCGTTCCAGAGTGACAATATCCCCTTACTTAGTATTTTCCTTGATGTTGGCATAAATTATGATTACTTGGTGTGAAGTAGAAGTCCGATGATGAAATTCAGAGCACCATTTCTATTTTCGTGGCGTAGATTTCCAAAAAAGCACAAAAGAAATCAAACACTAGGTTTATTGTACTACATATCTTTTTTTCTTAGTTAAATATGCTGAGATACATGAAATTACTTGTTTTCGCGATGATTTAAGTATTGATAAAAATGTCCGGATTCGTAACGTTTAGTTAAATACTTAAGCTGAGATCATAAGTATTTCCTACCCTAATATTGGATGGACGATTTGTAATGTGGTAAGCATCGACTATGGAAATAGCATTTATGTTCATAGATTATAGTAACAGCGTACTCGATCTTTGGTGTAGTTATAAAACTTGTACATGTACCAATATATTCCAGTTTATGAATTACTCGGGCACCCCCATGGAATTATATGGATTACACGAGAATGTATGATGACGGTATTTGGATTAATACTCAGTGTCTTAGGGTGAATAGATTACTTACATTACCGAAACCCCACAAAAATGCTGTGTATGATGCCTCAAGCAGTTGCCCATTGGGTGGTGCATTCAAGATGCTGGGTCTCTAGGACCAACACTAATCCACTTTTCAGATCTCTCAAATAATATTCTTCTACAATGTGTGGAAATGGGAAGTGATGGTCATCCTATAACAGAAAATGAGACGTTACCGATTTGTCTTATATGTACTCATTTTCTATTTATAATTAGTCGAAATATTCGTTTAAATTTTTACTGTCATAAAAAATGTAACTAACTGGTGTGCTACAGTGTGATATTTTACGTTGCTAGATTTCCAATGATCCCTGAAGCGTTTAGATAATAAAAAATTAAGTTCTTCATAATCGGGAATCTGTTCATACTCTGAAAACTTGGGATGCAGACTTCAAATAAATATTCCCAATAAATTAAAAACTTACGACTCTTTCACAATCGGAACCAAACAGAAAGGATGGATAAATCTTGCATTGTTTGATTTCACTCAAAAACTGCTTAATATGTACAATATAAGATAAATATTCGCCACCATATTTTATAGGTAATTTTAAATATTCATAAAAATATTCACTAAAGTCCTCTCCATCAATAATAACAGGGTTATTGTGCAATTGCAATACTTTGAAATTCACAAACTCTTGGAGCAATATATTAAACAACTCCGGGATAGGCATTATTACAGGTAATGAGCGCCCGTTTAATAACGGACAAAAGACAAGGCGTTGATCAAGAAGCAACAGATAACTATCTAAAACGTAAAAAAATGTGAGATAATACTAACTTGGAGAGTTGATTTGGAACTAAGCAAGTTTAAACAACTAACTCTCAATGGTCAAGTGATCACCCCCATTAAAGTACTACTTAACACATTGACTGATATGCCTTATTGCTTATTAAATGCCAAAGCTTGCTAGAAAACGGATTTGATAAGTATACTAGTGTAACGATGGCTCAGTGATTAAGACATTCGACTTTTACCCACTATATCCTAGGTTTGGAGCCTACTCCACCTAATTCAGTTTGAGCAACAGGATGGTAATATTACCCTTCATACTTATAGCGTAACTCACACCCAAGTAACTGGTGAGTTAGTTAATAGTTAATAAGCACACTAGTATTTCTTCAGAAATATATAGGTCCTAATTTTGGTAAATTATAAGGCTAGTCATATCAGGTGCCTCTGTTTGGTCGTCAGGGTTTAAATTACTTTCGATTTGCTGAAAATACTGATTTAAAAGCATAATTGAAGTACTTCACAAAACTGTTAGTCTCCGAGTAACAATCCACCAAATGGTATGGAAGATGAAGATATTACAACTTATACAAGGCAAAATATATTTCCACATACTCGGAATAGAACTCATTGGGGCCTGGCGACATTAAGCATAAATTTCTAAGTCGCTGAATGGCTAGCTTTTCTGTGGTACGATTTGGATAGGGAGCATTCTATGATTGAAGGTATAGTGGAAGCATAAGGAACACCGTTCGAATGTAAACTCACGACTGTTGTATCTTGTAAAATGACGGATTTTCTGTTTTCCTTACAGTATGTCAGCTAACTGATGAAATGCTAAAACAAGTGCTATCACCTCTATCCATAACTGTATTCAAAGACATAATCCATGGGGATATTAACACAAACCCACTCCCATTAGTCCTGTTCCAGGGCCGAAAATGGACGTGATTCAGGGTCTCTAGAGCTGGGTGCCATAGAACATAAATTCACGTATGACGGGACTAGAAACTGAGTGGAAAGTGTGAACACAATAACGGTATTTTAATTTAAGCCACAGGAAGTTCCTATTTCCGTGAGTTCAATATACAACTAATCACTACATAGGTGCTTACACTTAGGTGAAATATTGGTGTGAAACGAGTTTGCATCAATAGCTTAAAACCGACTCGATTATGCGGAGAAAATATTGGGGACAAGCACATTAATCCGTATGGCTTTCAAAGAGGTATTAATAATGCAATGAACATAATCGGATCGGGTCCAAACAAGTCATCTTCATCTTTCATATTCTACGAATCAAATCGCTACTTTACTAACGTATTACAAGTTTACTGTAAGATAGTATACACACTTTCCCGTTTTTGCCATCTTATAAATAAATATTGATATTCGTTAAATATTTTAGTCCCGTAGTCTGTTATTGCCAATAAAAACCTCTAAACCTCCCTATTTGGGGAAACTTATGTCCGTTTTGGGTAAGGTACAATAGGGAACTTTGAGGAAATAGGACAAAACCCCCACATTTTTCCTGGGTCCGGGGAAAATCCCTGAGATTTTGGGTTTTCTCCAGACTTTGAGGAAAGCTACCAAACTTTTCACGACTTTGAGGGAAACCCCAAGATTACCCGAAATTCCCCAAAATAGAGAGATCGCACTGTCAGATTACCAAACCATTTGAATTTGATCGTCTCGGCCTTTATGGATAAATTCCTCTTCTGGACCTGAATGTGGCAAATAACTGCTGGAAACTCGTATAACGTTTAGTTTTTGTTAGGTTTATGTCTGACATGCAGGTGGGTTGCATATTGGAGATGTAGGATCTTTACACCCCCAACACTGTCCGGACAGTGTGTGTGTGGAGGGGATTCCCCCTTATTTAAATCAGGATAAAACAGTACGAATAAAATGAGAGGACAACTCAGTGATCAGATAGGATGCACTTACGTTTAACAATGAAAGTAACTGACAGTAATTTGACTGATTTGAATGTGCCGGGACAAAATCCTCACGAGTAAACCGAGCAACACTTAACCAGCGTTAGGATAACCAGCGACCTTGGACGTGTAAGGACGTCAGATATTCAAATTGGTCTTCAGTCTCTTTCTTAACAATCACCCTTCGTGCACTCACCTAAAAATAAACGATCTATAAGAATTCTGAGTAGCCGTTCTTGAATCATCGGATACTCCATAGTAATAGCTTTCGCTAGGGGAATAATGTGTAGCGGTAAATAAATCCCCAAAGTTAATAGCTCTGTAAGTCTTCGACATTGGATGCTAACCACATTAGTTTTAAGGGACTCACCTAGCTGAATGCGCTCGGTCGTGCATCCGCACCAGGTCACTAGTGGAAACGCCATGCTCAACTTCTCCTGCAACCGCTAACCGATTTAGATCAGTCGCTTCTCGATATATTGATAACCTATCAAACATATCTTCAAACCCCCTCGCTCATAACTTTGGATTTTGTTGGGTAGGCACGATTCAATTAAAGAATGTGTTACTGATTAAAGCGTTATCGAACTATAAATACCTGTGGTATCTTCATTGGTGAACCCGACGTGATGTGGTACACTAACTCATAAACTGTGAGTCTGTTCATTTTTGGAACTTCATATATGATTGCTTTGTTCCACTTTTTACATATTGTGATTTTTTTCGTATTTTTGAATATTCTTTTACCCTCGTTCATCCTTGTACTTCATATTCGCCATGACAGAACAGAATCCCAAGGTGCTTAAGTTCAGGACTATAATAACATCCTCATTTCAGCTGTCCTTTTGGCCGGACAACATCAAAGCCTGGTTTTGCTACGCAGAGGCCGACTTCTACTTGCACGGGGTGACCAACCCATGTGCATAATTCCTCTCAGCAGTGAATGTACTACTGCGCGTATTCAGCAGGTACGTCACATCTTGTATGTTTACTAGCGATGTTTTGGAACCTTACGAAACTCTAAAACGGTCTACACTGAAATAAGGAGACCCAACCGGTAGACAAAGGTTAGATCAACTCTTTGATAACAGAGATCTGCAACATGATTAAGCAGCAGACATGTTGTTACGAATGAGAGAAGTGATTGGTCAAAGAACTTTCAACGATGGCCTGTTTAGACAACATTTCTTGTCTAAACCTCCTCAACAGGTGAAAGCAGTGCTTATCTCGTTTCAAAACAACGCCATAGATGAGGTGGCTGCATCTGCCGACCACATTTTAGAGATCACTATATCTCCTAATGCAGAGGTTTTCTCAGTTAAATAAAAACCCCAAGCGACACAGAATGACAGTACGGAACTGTCATACGCTGTCACGTCACGTCGTGTTCGTAATGATCGTAAACGATCACAAAAACCGTAAAGGAATTTCTTCACGACAGCGATCTATCTCCAGATCACGAGGGAAAGATAACCCCGACTGGTGCTGGTATCATAATCAGTACGGAAAATCTTCTCGACTTTATCTTGTAAATTTCGAAACTCCAAACCGACCGACATGAAAAACATTTCGGGAAACCTCCTGGCCGGCAAACGTTAACGGCAACCGTAACCGGTAAAACACAGCCGTGTATTGTACGTCACTGATGTGATTACGAAATTCCGCTTTCTCGTCGATACTAGCGCAGAAGTTAGCGTTTTTCCAACAGATCCTAATGACCGGCTTCACGAATCAATTTTAAGCTTACAGGCGGCAAAACGAAAACCTATCGCCGCATACGATAAACGATACGTCTATCTTAACGTGGGTTTACCCTACCCCCCCCCATTAGATCTTTATTGCAGATGTTTCTATGCAAACCACTGGTAGGGACCTCCTACAACATCACAATCTACTCATCGACATGCGCAAAAGGAGATTAGTAGATGGGATTATTTCCAGTCACAGTTAGACACACAATACATCCATTCTATCAACAACTCCTCGATGAGTACTCTGGGATATACCAAACGCAACCGAGATTGCCGTGTTTAACCAGCAATGTTGCACATCACATCACGACTACAGGACCACCGTTATTCTCGAAAGTGCGCCGACTTGCTCTCGAAACGCTGAGGTTGGCTAAAAACGGATTCAATCACATAATAGACTTAGGAATCACCTGGCCATCGAACAACCCATGAGCATCTCTCTTATACATAATCCCTAAAACGGACAGGAACGATTGGTGCAGAACTGTTGGTTATTGGCGACTGAATACAAAAACTACTCCCAATCATTACCCTTTGTTATACATTCACGACCTGATGGATACCTTAAACTCAGTAACTGATTTTCACACAGGCTCTTCGGTCGAGAAAATGTTGCACAAATCTTCCAGAAGTCCACCGATGACGTTTTTCAAGGTCTCATCTTCTTACATTCGTATGTTGATGACTGTTTGAATGCAAGCCCGGACGAAGAATCTCATGTCTAATATCTGGACCTTGTCTTCAAACGACTAAAAAAGCACGGCATTACCGTGAATATTCAAAAATGTCAAATCGGCACTGACTCTAGGTTTTTTCGGACATAATACTGGTGTTCAAGACATCCAACCTCTCAAAGCAAAGTAGCGGCCATTCTTGATTACCTACAACCGACCACATTAAAGCAACTAATGATATTCAACGGCTTAGTAAGTTCCTATAGACGGTTCATACCGAAATTCGCGTCTCTTGTGAGACCTTTACCCGACCAACTTCGTAAAAATGCGAAATTCATCGTTTTGGACGATATCGCGAAAAAAACACTTCACAGTTAAGAAATGTATTTACAAAGCAACACTTCTCTCATACCAGGACTCCCAATCACCCATCAGTATCGCAGTAGAAGGCAATCCGAGGAGTCCTACAACAATGGGTTTGCAGTGGCACTGAACCCTAACCACACAATCCTCAGAGCTGGACACGAGACACTTGGGAAAATAGATGTTCAACATCTGACACGGGGGAAATCTCAACGATGGAGAAGGCGGGAACAATGAATGAAATGAATTCGAATTGATCGGATGGCATTACCCGGTCTCACAGGCATGGTCGCTCTGCACAACTTACTGTTACCAATATTAAATATTGTTCTATCTCCATCCTGAATGTGTTTTTCATCATCCATTGGTAATTGTTACGATACGATGAGTCAATGTAGACAATAATGTGACTTTCACGTAAGATCTCATAGATTGGGCAGTTACATCATGACAAATGTACAATTTTAGGATTGGGTCTGCTATTAGAGCAGTACTAATATCATAGTAGACCATAATTATTCCCACTCGATCGATTTTTTTCTTATGTTAAACCATTATTCCATTAGTCTTCTGATTAATGCTAGCATGTATTGTCGCAATGTTATGTTGATTAGTACTCATAACTTACTAGCTCAATTGATAATAAAAACTGGTCATCTATATGAATTGTTATTGTTAATTTATTAACAAGCTTTAATAGCATCTACATGCTTCAGCAGAATAAACTTGTAACATCAAGCTTTAGCAAAATTGGCCAGTAAATAACATAAACATACATCGACTAGCAGCGTAAGCAAGGACTTGTGAAAAGCATTTCACACGATAGTCAGAAGCAGTACTCATCAAATATATTACTGCTGAAACAATGGCCCACACCTTCGTCGGACGATGGGTAGCAAATTTCGGCTATCACTAAAGATCGTAGACATCACTTTTAATCTGGATTTTTCTGTTGTCTGACTACATTATAAGGAATCACACGATTCTGAAATACCACCTACCACTCACATGCAAATGGTTTGATAGAACACTTTCACCGACAGCTTAAAGCTTCACTCTTAGCCGCGAACGTTCCACACTGGACCGACGCCTTTCCATTCGTCTTACTTGGTATTCGCAATGCAGTGAAGGCTGACATTAGACACACTGCAGCTCAACTCGTCTGTCAGACGACACTTCGACTTCCAGGAGAACTCGTAGATCCTTCATCTTCTTCGATGAATATGGATCTAAACTCCTAAACCATCAGGCTTACAAACGCAATAAGTTCAGTTAAACTTGTTTCCACTCGACCGCAATCAACTGATGTTTTCGTTCAACCTGAACTACGATAAAGTGCACACTTCTTTGTACGTCGGAAGTCATCTCGACGACCTCTCGAAACAACATACGAAGGACTACTCAAAGTTCTTCAGTGTTAACCGATGTACTATATCATCGATGATAAGAACGGAACTAACGATATTCTCAGCATTGATCGCATGTAGATTTATGTAATAGTATACCGAGTGAAACCGGATATTAGTATAAATATTTGTGCAATAATAATTAAGAATGATGCTATGAAAGTCACAATTAATTTTAAGGGACAGTCAGGAATTGAATATGTTAAGAAGGATAAGAATATATAAAAGGAATATCTAATGTGTCGGGGGAACAATAATGATATTAATAACAGTAATAATTATAGATACGAACATAAGCAGACTTCATATATCAAGATAAATAGAAATAAAATAAAGTAGACGTGAAAAGTTTTAAAGGTTTTATTTTGCTTTTCAGGCAATTAAATGGATGACGGACCTTGTTTGTATAAACCATTGTTGAATACATTGATATTCAATAGGTGAAATAATCCACTTTCGGAAAGAAAATCATCAAGGAGACTTTTGAACCGGGTTGTAGTTTCACTGCAACGGATGTTCACTGGCAGTCTGTTCTACATGGTTGAGTAGTGAATAAAGAATAAATTCTGACGTAAGTTTGTGTGGGCTTGTAAAAGTATGGTCTACTATTATATTAGTACTGCTCTAATAATAGGCCTAATCCTAAAATTGTAGATTTGTCATGGTATAACTGCCTAATCTATAAGATCTTACGTGGAAGTCACACCATCGAATACACCAACTCACTGTATCGTATCAATTACCAATACATGATGTAGAACAAGGTTAGGCTAGAGAAAGAACAATATATTTAATATGAATAGAAGATATAAGGTAACATTCAGCAGAGACCACGCCTGCATGGCCGAGCCATGCCATCCGATCAACTCCAGTCCATTCAATCCA